ATACCCTAGTTTATAGCTCTAAGTTGTTCTAAGATTATTGGCTCTCTGACTCTTATTTTTAGGGCACACAAGATAATAGAAGGACCTGGTAGCGTGGTTTCTATCTTCATCTATGATCCTGGAATTATCCTGGTTGTCCTGCTCTCTTTCATGCCCTGTCAAGTTATGGGGGTTATGTTTAATTTTCACAAATTGCTAGATGGATTTGGTTCTAGATCTGTAATCAATGTGGTTGATCATGGCTTTTCTATATTCATCTTTGATCTTGGAGATGTCACTACTAGTGGGTACTTGAAATTGGATGTTGAGATTTATCACTTAATAACTAATTTGTCTGCTGCAAATGATGCCACAACAGTATTTCCCAACTTTGGTTTTATTACATATCTCCATTCATTGCATCGTAGCTTGAGTCTTCAAAAGTTTTGCACTGCTCAATGCACTATGATGCAGTTTGCAGTAATTGATATTAGGGAATCATTAATCTGCTCCATCTACGAAATTTGCTTATCAGTGGCCACGTGATTATTATCATTAAAGAATTAATTTCACAAGTTGGCTTTGGTCCTTGTCTTTTATTTCATGCCATCTTGGGCAAGTTGATAAGGAATAGTGAAGAAAAGCAAAGCTTTATGGGGTTTCATTCAGGGTCACTATTTTATACTCTGGTGATGACACACATTGGTTCAATGTTGATACTAAGATGTCTCAATTAATTGTTGTGCTTGAAGCTTGCTGCATTGGACTTGATCTTTCCAATTTTGTTTTTGATCCTGGAGAGGCTACATGCATTGAAGGGTTGCAAAGTGTTGATGCATTATATCAGAGTTCTTGCTAGCGTGAGCCTTGGAAAGAATGCTAGAAATTGTTGTACCTGTTTACCTTGGATTGTGCCCCATAAGACTAAGATTCCAGATGTCATTTCAACGCTGGTGCATTCATATTGTAACAATTGTTAGGTGATGGCTGACCTGTACTATCATGGGTCAATTTGTTTTAGTGGTTGGTCTTTAAAAGCTGTTCTGCATGTATGGAGGGTAAGGGCAGACATGGAAGAATGATTTTTTTTCCAAAATCTCGCCATGGATGGAGAAAAAACTTGAGAAAAAAATATAGTGGGTCCTACTCTCCATTTTTTCTCCCACTTTTCCTTCCATCCACTTTTCTTTCCTCTTCCAAACAAAAAAAAAAAAGTTATTTTCTCTCTTATTTTACTTGATAGTTTTCTTTTCCCCCATGTTTCTTTTTCCATCCAAATAAAGCATAAATTGGCAAATATTTCATCTTCTATAAGCATTGAATATTTTAAATGCATCTTTAGGATTTAAAGTGCTGTTCAATATAAAAAAATTTTATTGCTTGTTTATTGAACTTATTATTTAATTCTTTGAATCAATATGTTTTTCATTCAATATATCTTAGAATTTTTGTTGCAGTGTTTTATTAAGTTTGTTAGTAATAATTTTTGTAATTTTTTTTATCGAATATAAAATGAAAGTAAAATCAAATGATATCAATATTTTAAGAGTAATTGTAATATTATTTTGTTAAAAATAATTAAATTTTATGATAATTATATCTTTAAATTATTACAAAAGTTAAATTATACATACGTAAAAGATTGCTATAAAATTAAAATAAAAATTATATTTAGTGTCTTAAGATTTTTATAAAATGTTAATTTAAGGTGTTGAAAATAATCGTTATATTTTGTTTAAAAAAAAAAGTTGGGGTGTTGTGGTCTCTGCTAGTTTTCCCGTCTTCACCCCTGCTTACAGAAAGACTGATGAAGTCGACAAATGTCTTGTAGTTAGCTGTACATGACCACGAAAATTTCAAGTGTTCACCTGGCCGTAAAATGAAGCTTTGAATGTGTAAAGAGATAATGTTCGCCATGAATTTCTCAAAAACATAGTAACATGACTAAGGAGCCTGGACTTTTTACTTGTACTTTTTATACCCTCTCTCTCTCTCTCTCTTTTTGTTTTAATGTTCTTGATACGCTCATTGACTTATTTTATAAGTATGGAGTGTCATGAATCAAGACCTCTTTGTTCGAAACGGAAAAACCGAAGCACCAATAATTTCGGCCCAAAAGAACCACAAATAATGAAACTTTAATATTAAGTTATTTAAAATGCCATTTTCAATGCACTTATAAATAACATAAACTTATAGCAAATTATTCAGAACTTAAATTTGGGGCAAGAATCTGAAAATAAGATTCTAGATAATTTACTAGCAAGTTCTCGTTGCTTAAGACTAAGCTTTTGATTTATCTCATTATAATTGCTTTAAAGATGAAATCATTTTATGAATTTTGAACAAAAAGTAGCGATGGAAAAATATATTCTTTATTTATTTTAAGGATTAATGAAAATATTTATTTTTTATGAAATTGGTACATATTGGATAATTCACATTTTATATCATGTATAATTATAATATTATTATCTTGTTAAAATTAAAAAGTTAAATGAGAAAAGCTTTACATTTCAATCTCTTTAAAAATAAATCCTTTTAAAAAATAAAATTTTAAATTTAGATTTTAGACAGCACATGTCTCATTTAAAGATAAACAAAAAATTACAATCAAAGACTTCTAGAGATAATTAATTACGCTACAAGATCAAATAATTATAATATTATTGTGCAGGACCTAAATTTAATTAAAACTTCTTGTGAAAAGACAAAACTACCCTTGATGTATTTTTGTTATAATGGAGTAATTGATTGTTGTTAAAATAGGAATATGACTTTTTTTTTCCTAGAATGAAGACTTGCTAACCAGATTATAATAATTCATTTACCACATTAATATTTCGTAATTGTTAATGAAGGAATTGATTATTGTTAGAATGAAAATGAAGTTTATTTTTCTCAAATAAGAACCTATTTAGTAAATCACAACATATATTCTTTTCCACCATTAAGTTAATTTTTCAAAGTTGTTAACAAAAAAATTGGTTGTTATTAGAATGAAAATATAACTTATTCTTTCTCATATGGAGATTTGTTCACCAAATCATAACACTTATTCCTCTCCACCACCAGATTAATTTCTTAGAATTGTTAACAAGAAATTAATTGTTGTTAAAATATGGATAAGATTTGTTTTTTTTTTTTTGGAATGAGGAGTAGTTGTTGTTAACACATGAAGGGTATTTTGTCTTTTCACAATAAAGGTGAACACTTTAGTTCTGCAAAGTAATATTAGAATCATTTGATCCTACATCATAATTAATTATCTCTAGGGGTCTTTGATTGTGATTTTTCCAAAGATAAATGCAAAGTCCTTATCACATATTATTTCATAGTCCTTATAATTAAATTTTCATAAAAGTTTTGGAGGTGCTTTCTGAATAAATTAAAAAATTCTATCAATGTTCCTTCCTGGGATATTTATTTTTTAAAAAAATATACGTTTTTTGCATGTATACTTAATTATCGTTAAGAACAATAGAAATATATTTGAACTATTATGCATAAAAATAAATTTGACATGTTAACAAACAAGACTTGATTCCGTTATCCGTTGGCTTGTAAAGCAGTCCAAATCGAGATGAGAAGCCTCTCTCCTTTCATGTTTAATACCCATATTTATTCCATTTTTCCTCACATCTAACATCAAGTTTCGTCGCTTTTTCTGTTTATATTATATGATTTTAGCCTTAGTTAACAATGGCGGGACATTTGGGTTGATAGATGTAGGAAAATTTTTAATAATGACAATAACTGTGAATTGAAGACTCTTATCTAGTTTTTTTTTCGGAGCTTGCTTGGATGCTAATTTATTTAAATTAGCCCCCTCCTTGTCTTATGAAATCAAACACTCCAGGGAAAAAATATTACCTAGAGATGACTCAATCAAGCTTGAAGTTGATGGATCTGTCTTACTTAGTGGAAGCAGTGGTTATGGTGGTACTATATGGGATAGAGATGGGAATTGGGTTGAAGGTTTTAGTTGTAAATTAATGTTCCTGCTACAATCTCAAAACTTCTAGCTATTATACATGGCCTAAATCTCTGTTGGGCTAGAGGCTTCCATACTGTGGACATTTTTTGTGATTGCAATAAGGTTGTGCTTCTGCTAACTAGGAGATGTAATAATTCTCACTCATTTAAAGTTTTGGTTGGAGATGTAGGATTATTATTCCACAGGGATTGAAATTTAGTCATTACTCGTTTCAGTAGAAATTTGAATTTGTATGTTAATTACCTAGCTAAACTGTTTCATTCTATGGATGTATTTTTTTGGTATCTTTGATCAACTCCCACTTCACTCCCAGGAGGTGACGGATGATGAAAGGAATTTGCCAAATGACATAGTCTCATTGTAACGTAATGCACTTTTCTAGTTGAAAAAAAAAAGACAATGGTGCATTCATTAGGAGCATGGATTGGGGAGTATGGGAATGTTGCAGGCAGCTTTTAATTGTGCATGTGTTATTTTTGGAGTAAATTATCTACAATTGCAATGCTCCATTTCAATCTAGCTATTGTTCGGCAGATGCTGGTCTTTGCCCTCTTTGGACTCGGCTCTTAAGCATATCTCTTTACCTTGGTGTTTATCCACGGTTCTTCTCATGCCATTGGGAGTTGATTGTTGTGTCTTTGCACCCCTCATCCTGGTGCAGTATTTGGTCCGGCATTTTGTTTGGGTGGTTTAGTAGTTATGCCTGATGTCTTTGTGCATTTTCTGAAGAACGTTTGGGTCAGTTGGTCTCTTGCGCGTGTTAACTGTTTTATGCGCTCACTTTTTTATATAATATGATTGATTACTTCACTAAAAAAAATGGTTCGCAAACTCAACGGTTTTCTTGCCAAAGTTTAGTTCTGAGGTCATTCTGTGAATTATATTATCCAAAAAACTTGTTCTCTGCACGATTGGAGACTATAACGAGTCCATTAATCGATGTTAAACTCATCACGTTGCACTCAAGCAGGCATGCTCCGGCTCTGGCACACAAAATGACGACACCTTTTCCATTCCAATACAGTTTTGTGCTCGTTACCTTGAACTCTTCCATTAGCCACAAGTAAAAGGGCGCAAACTAACGTTTATAACGACCTCAAAAGTCTAACAAAATGTTTCACCCATCAATCCCGCATATTGCGAATTTACAAGCCCGTATTTTGTAATAAAATGTACAGTCACTGAATACAGGCAGGAGACGTAATAGAGGAAAGCTGGTGACGATGCTGCCTGAAGTTCACACCATCTGCGAAGTATTTTAAACCATCAAACAAGATTAGAAAAAAAAAAATGGAATACGACATCACCAGTTAAAGATGTCATGAAGAATTCAAATATGAAAAACTCCATACACAGAATGCTGGGGCATCTACCTAAAAAATTGGGGATTAATGCTGAATGGCATTGGAAATGAACTAGTAAAGAAGACGAGAATTTTATGCAGCCTGTAATTCAGGAGCAATTAGATGGACTTTGGGAAACTATAGAATGGAGCAGCAAAGCAGACATTACCAGTGTTTCATAGATGAGCTGGGGTAAAAGATGGGAAATTAAAAATAGTTTGCAGTGTTAAAGCCCTTATGATGTAACCATAAAAAACGCATTAAAAAAAGTTGTTTGCTGTATGATCTTTGCCCATCTACCGGCCAAACTCCTAGAAGTGAAGCGAAACTAAAAAACTCATTAGAAAAGTCTACAATATTTACCACTTAAAACTTCAGTACTAAGTTTCAGAGCAGTGGCTAGCCGGAGAGGGAAGAGCACCAGTACCACATTATTTGAGTAGTTAACATAAGATAAAGCGTTCTAAAAAGGTAAAGAACTATACGAGAAATCTAAAAAAACACATCTCGAGGCATCTTTAACTTGGGATTCTAAGTTAGGAAGCTACCAAATTTGCAGTGTTCTGCATTTTAGTGCTTTCATTGCTGCTTTTGCAAACACTTGTGCGGCCTCAGCTTCAGCTTCTGCTGCCTCTGCCTCCCTAGCTGCTGCCTCTGCCTCAGCAATTGCAGCTTCTGCTTCAGCAACTGCCTTTGCAGCTGCTGCTGCAGCTTCTTGGGCTGTCACGCCCTTCATTTTTGATAGCTCTGCGTCAATCTGGGATTTTGAAAGGATGTTGACATTGGTCTTCTCCGCTTTTGGAGAATCTTTGGGCCTCCCTTCCAGGAGTAACAAATTAGAGTATCTTCTTTTCTCAGAGATTGCAGAACTTTGAGCGATCCTGTACTTGTGTTTTACCTGTCATCATAACTTATACAAAATATCAACCAATTGAATACATATAATAGTAATAATAAGCAACACCAAACGTCTCATGACGAATATAAGTCATGATTGACAAGTTTTCAGTATGATCTCCAAGGCCCCAACCATCATTCAGATGAATGTTCATGCGTTACAGGTTTGTGGGCAAGGACTCTACTACTTGGGATACTTCTCAAAAAAATGGTATCCAAATGATCAACTATAGCATTAACTGACAGAAAAAAATACCTTAGTCAATTTGCCACTAGCCACCATATGCTTCAGTTTTGTTGACAATAACTTTCTGAGGTTCGGTGGAGAACAGTAATGCTCCTGTAAAGATAAAAAATGATAAAAACCGCTTTCAAAGAGACAATGCATGCATATGCACCCAAACAAATAACAGATTCCAGCTCAGTGTCCACCAAAACTACAAGTAAAACCATGCTACCTGATGAGATAGACAAAATAAAGCATAAAAAAATAATGGTTGGTTCAACTGACGCCATGATTTGTGATCAGTGTTACAGTGAAAGATCATCAGTTCAGAAAACGTGAAGAAAAAGCAAATGTTGAGGCTTGTTCAATCAAAGATATTTAATGTCTATTTCTAGATGTCACAAATAACAACCAATTCATGAATTAAGAAGAACTTGATAATGAAGATGTCTGCTAAAGCAGGATTTCAAGTAATCTGTCTTGCATTTCTAGTTTACAAACATAGCCTCTTGATCACCATTTATTTCTATATTGAGGTGTTTAGATTCTAAATCATCAGCAGAACATGTGAAGTCTAGATACCTCTATGTAAGCAGCAATAGCAGCCCTGTCAGTACCCTTTGGCTCCTTCAAATTGATAATAGCCTCTAATATAAGATTATCCAACCTGTCATAATTTAAAAAGAGTATTGTTACCTGATTAACAGTTATGTTATGCAAAATATTCTATGTAGTTGTATCTTGTGACGTGGATGGAATATTTATGACAAAAACACTAAAAGCAATCACAATCACGGAGTGTGCTTTCCCTGATATGGCAACATTTTTGCAATATTTATACATATCCACACTGAGGATCACAGGCAAGCAAGCAAAAATTATTTCCACATTGAACCAAATCACCACAAAAACTCATTGGTCTTTGTTGTCATCAAGTGAGACTCCCTCCATCAACCACCAAAAAAAGATCTTTGCTAATGTATAAAGTAATGCAAAGATACCAGGTCAACATGTAGAAATTAGCACAAATCCGAATATAAAGAGGAAAAAAATGTACAAGTCCACAGAATCCACTTCGAGGCAATGACCAACCATGAAAGTAGCATGAAGTTTTCTTGCTTTCCATTTTTTCCCCTTCACTTTTCCCTACATAGCTTATATAACAATCTCTTTTCATGCATCTTTTCCATGCTTAGAGCAAAGTAAATCATGGATTAATTGGAACGTTGAAACCCCATGGTACAAAAAATCACAAATTTAGATTGCAATTAGGTTCAGAACTAATCACTTGAAAGAGAAGTATCATTGACAGATTTATAATGTTGGTCCATATGCTAGAAAAGCAGAATGGCAAACCAGCCAACCACTAACATTATTATCCTTTCTTTCTTTAGATAATGAATGCCATAAATATTAACAGGAAATAATATAACCTAGATATTTGTTCTTTTGGATTAGCAGACTGTGACATTCCACCAGCGACTGCTAGAGGCTTAGTATCAAGAACTTCTTCACCATGTTGAACTGCAGTACTCAGGGCCATATGGTTGTTATCATTTTTGGGGGCTGGTAGGTTCCTTTTAAGTGCAAGTTTTGCCTTCTGTCTGGATCCCCATATTGCAGTCACATTTATATTCCTCCATTTATCCTGCTCAAAACTCAGAATATATATCAAGATCCATCATAACCTTGCAAACTTTACAACAGAAATATGGTCATTTGGAAAGTTAATTCTACATTCCTAAGTGGACATAATAATTTCTGTGCTGTCATACTGACCCCAACAAGCTAAGCTCTTGACATACCTTCAGATCTACATTTGAACGCATGCGCAAAATAGCACTGAACTCTGGGTCTGTAAGTATTGTGCGCCACTTTCCTGCCCCATGTTTCATTACTCCAGCTTTCAGTGCCGCTTCTTCTTCAGCAGTCCATTTTTGCTTTGGAGCCCCCATTAAAAGCAGTTCAAAACCCTTCTAAAACAGTCCAAAATTTTCTTCTATTCTATAGGAAGGGTGGGAAGTTGAGTTCTGACTTCTGCATGTTTATCCACAAACAAGAACTGCCTTTTGACTAATCCAACGTGAAGATTTTGATACCTGGCTTTGGATTAACCCAATATGAAGATTTTGATAATCTACAAACCAAATCAGAAGGAAGAAAGCCAACAAATGTCAATCCTTCAAGAATTTTATGGTTCAAAAAATAAATAAAAACACAGCCCATCCCAGAAATACCCAGTGCAGAAACATCAGCCAGACATAGTTTCTAAATTCACTTCAATCTGATCCACTATACAACAACACTTTGCAAAGGAAGCGCAACAGTGAAAAGAATGATTTTGTGAGGACAGAAAATTAGTGGTGAATGTTACACGAGGTAATATGGGAATCAAGAGAGAATATGGAAGAAATGAAAATGAGAGAATCAGAACATATTGTTTTAAAATTCTACACACATAATTAACCTTTTTATAATACCATATCCACGAATATCAGCTATGCCTGAATATAATTTAAATTTTCTTTTGATTTTCGTTTCCCTCATTTATATGCCATCCAAGCAACAGAAGATAAAAATGATAGCTACTTCCTCGATTTCATTTCCCTTACTTTCTGTCCCTCCTCCTTGTTCCCAAATAATCATAATGTTCATCGAAAGATCAACTTCAAAAGCTCCAAGTAAAACAACCAACCTTTCTGGTTAAGAGTAATATATCAGCACTTCATTGCAATGCCTATGCAATTTGGCTTTATGATTGCAACAAACTGTACCAAAAACACACGGAAAAAGTTATCCTACCTATTTTAGCTTCTGATACAAAAAGTTCGAAAGCTAACCACGATTCACAACAATTGCCACCAATAATCTGAGTATTATGCAACATTCCTAGTTGCAAATAGGAAGGACTTAATTTTCTCAGTTTGGAATTCAGTGAGTCGTTGCAATTTGCATTAAACGAAAACATAACGCCAACAAAAATAAACTTCCTTTTACCTCCTAGCCTCATACAGATACAATCGACAAAATTTGAGCGAAACGATTGTAGCGAATAAGCACCGAATGCATATGATTAAGCTAGTATCACCTACAATAACAATAGCAGACTAATAGTGGTTTGCAATTTGATATATAGCAAAATGCGCAATTTTCTTCCAGAAGCGATGAGCGAAACACAAAGAAGCAATCGATGAAATAGGCGTACCGCATCAAAGCATCGCAAAGCCGACGAAAATCGGAAGAGGTTGTAGTATATAGGCTGGCAAATCGAACCAATCCAAAGTTCTGCGAAGAACTGGAGAAGAAAGAAAATAAAAATAAAAATAAAAAAACTCATCGACCGAGAAAAATGGGCGTTTTATTCAGTTTAGTGATGTTTAAAGCTATGCTTTTAATCATCCAAGGGAAAAAGAAGAAGAAAATTAAGCAACCAATATTTCGGAATTGGCAAAGTGCCCCTTGCTTTCTCAAAAATACTTCAAATGCTAAAATTACTTCTTGGGATTATTTTTGGGTCGCATTATTCAGAGAGAATATGGGGGCAGAATTGCCGTTTTTTTTTTCAAAAAATAAAATAAAATAGAATTGCTGTCTTTAGGGATGAGAACAGGTTGGATCTTGTTTAAATAAACTTGAGTTTGTAACAAAAAATTTAAAACCTAAGTTTATGTTCATGTCTTTTTAAGCTCAAGCTCAAGCTCGTTATAAATCTGGCTTGAGCCTAAATTTTTTTCTTTTTAAATAGTACTTTAAAAAAGTTCAAGAAATATGTTTTAAAGAACCTTAACTAGACTTTAAGCCTATTTAAATTGTTAACAAGGCAAAATCATTCAAATAGAAGAATATAAATTAAAATATAATAATATAAATTAAATATTTTTAATATATAAATAAAATATAATATATATAAAAATTAAATAAAAATGCAAGTTCGGGTTTATTTAGCCAAAAATGCCTTAAAAACAAACCTATTTAACTAAAGAAACTCAACTACATAGGCCAAGTTACAACCGAGTCAGGTTTATGGGTTGCTTGATAAGAACCTAATTTATTTTTACCCATAATCTTTTTTAGTTCCCTTTAATTATATATCCTTATTTTGTTTGACTTTTCAACTTGTGATTGATTTTATTTGCTTTTGAAAAATAAAAGAATTGTTTGGCGATGAGTAGGCATTTTACTTAAATTAATATATATTTTCTGCTCTTTTATCTACTCATTAATGTGTAGATTGATAAAAATTTGAACATAATACGTCACTCAGTTATTTTTAGGCATTTTTAAGAAAAATAAGGAAAAAGAACATATATAAGGTCAAAAATACAAAGCACCAAATTAAAGCCCAAGAAATAGGTCCGAAAGAGTTGTCCACTTACAGACAAGTAGAGAAGCAATTCTCTTTACCCATGGACAAAGTAGCCAGCATGAAGAAAGCCACCCTCTCGAAGCTCAATCACGTGCGAACATGGTGAGGCATGACGTTTGCCCTCGCATGGAGGAGCTCATAGACATTTGTCATTTGACCACACGAGGACATGTAGAGGAGGTGTGCCACTGCACACGAACGTGAGGAAAAACACATGGGAGAAGCTCATTTAAAATTCAAATGTGAAATTAAACAATATCTCATCAAATTAGATAAGAGTGAAATTAGACGTAAAAAGAGTGCAAAAGCGTTATAAATAAAGCTCTTGCATATTTCTAAGGGAATGCATATATTTAAAATTGAGAAGGTAATTCTAAAGCATAAAATAAAATTTAATTTAAGAGGTATTCTTGAAAATTCAGAAGATAAATGAGCGATTCTTGAATAGATATTATGGCATTCTTTTATTTTTCTATGCTTTTTAATCTCTACATTTAATTTGAATTATTTTACATATTTAGGGTTATGAGTGGCTATTTTTCTTTTATTTTTAGGAATTCTATGAACTTTTAATATTCTATAGGTAGATTTTTTTTTAGTTATTAGTTTTGATGAACGCTTTAATACTTAATATGATTTATTTTATTCTAATACTATTGAATAACCAACTTTAGTATGTGAGTGAATCTTGAAATTTCCCTTTGACAGAGGGAATCTCAACTAAATTGTTTATATTAAGAAACCTAAGATTGGAATTAATTTAATTTGCGCTTAAGATGGACATATATTCAAGAGTCTTAGGTAATCTTTTAAGATTTATGCATAATTTGATCGGAACTTTCTTGAGACATCATAGTACAGTTAAATCACAGATTTTGTAATTGACGGATACATAATCTAAATTAGAGTATTGATTTTAAAGTTAAATTGAAATGCGATAACCAGAAGAAATGAAATCGCAAAGTATAAAAGGGAATTAGAATTTCTAGGATACTCTTTAATTATTAATCTTACCTTGGATATATTCTTTGATTTTATTTTATTTGAATTTTTAATTTAATAAAAATTTCACTCTTTGATTAGATGACTTAACCATACGACAACATGCTATTCAAGTGAGCATCAATCTCATTTTTGCATATATCACATATATTTATCATTTTCAATCTTAACACAATTATATTTATCCCAATATACTTAATCACAAATCAAATTTATCATATCAATCGTCAACTACTCATTTTAATACTACATTATAAATTTGGAATTCATTTCAAATTCATCTTTGCATTTCTGTTCAATCAAAGAAAATATACTCACTCATATTTCCTAAGATGTTTACACATTCACAAATCACAATTGTACATGCAAATAAACACATTTCATGTTACAACACAATTAATAAATAACTATTCAAAATAGAGTTTTTCTAGTTACCTTAAACTTTTGAGAGGTCAAATATTTATCCCTCGATAATTAGCTTCTAAACTTGCTTCCCAAGCCAAATGTGGCGCTCAGATGATTACTTTACAATTAATCAGGTCCAACCTCAATTAACATTGTTACAATACATTTTTAGCTCTCATTTTTCATGTCTAAAATATCCAATACCCATATTTCTTACATTTAAGCCTACCCATTGGGTTTATTAGCTCTCTTTATCTCCCATTAAACTCTCAAACCATCATTAATGGTTCCCAACAAACTCCAACTCCCTTATTTATTCTACATTTTCAAGCATTAATGCCCTTCCAACTGCTTAAACTTGTAAACTCATAAATCTTAAATTTAAATTCCATTAACTTCATTTGAGTCAATAGGTTTGGACTCATAACTTGTATGGATTGAAAATCATCATCCCCATTCAAATCATAACTTAAATCTTTGAGAAAATGGAAGAGGAATGAAGGAAAGGGGTTTAAAAACCTTACTTAGGTGAGTAGGAGCTTCAAACCTTCCCCAATCCTCCCCAAAATTGTGCCTTAGCAGAGCTTTCTTCGTTCTCCTCATTTTCATTTTCTATCTCTTTTGATTTCTCATTAGGTTCAATCCCTTTTTTTGCAAAATTCACACTGTGCTCCACAGCATGTGGTACAAAGAGGGATATTCGTGGTTTTGGCTTGTGTGTGCTGCGATGCGTGCATGTGGCATTGAGGCTTTTCTACTTATTTTTCTTCACTTTTTGATACCTAAGTGACCTAATTTCACTTTAAACCCAATTTATATATGAAATCCTAATTAAAAACATTTATTAGTCTCCTTTAACCACACACCATGTAAATTCTACTTGATTACTCTCCATTAGGATTATTATTATTATTAGGGGGTAAATTTTTAAGATGTTACAAATTTCATAATTGTTCTCCTTAACTCCGAAAGGTATGGTAGCATGATGGTGGTAATTGATAAATTTAGCAAATATGCCACCTTAATACAAGCCCCTGTGGATTGTAAGGTAGATGAAGCGGCACACTTGTTTTTCAAGCATGTCATAAAGTTATGGTGTAACATCCTTATTTTTAATTCCCTGATTAATTAAAATTAATTAGGATAATTAAGTAATTTGAGATGGTGTGTGGCAGGGAGGTCTAATAAGCATATTTAATCGTATTTTATCCCAAACTGTAGGTTCGATATTAAGTTGGGCCACCCAGGTATCAAAAGGAAAAGAAAAATAAAGAGTGATGTTGGTATGTCACACGCTATGGCATGAAGATCATCCGTCATGACACACAGACACTTCAAATGCAAAGGAGGACCTCTCTATGCCATGCGCCACGGTGCATTGTGCGTCCGTTGTGGTACATGATCATTTTTTACCAATATTAATCAAGAAAATGAGACAAAAATAGAGAAAAAGAAAAGAGAAACTGAAAGAGGCATGTTAAGCTCTGTTAGGGTTTTCTAATAGAGGACATTGGGAGTATTTTGAAGGCTACAAACATCCAAGATAGGTATCACACTCATTAATCTTCTCATTTCTTTCACATTTATGAGTTTATAGTTTGGGTTTGATTGTAAAAAATAATTTTCGATCCATATAGGCTATAGGTCCGAATTTATTGACTCAAATGGAGTTAATAATAATAGATTAGAGTATCTAAATGTAGTATAATAAATTTTTAGTATTGTTAGATGATAGGCTCCGTTAATGTTTGAAAATGGACATTAAATTTGCTATTATTATGGTTGTTAATGTATTAATGGCAATGTGGCAGTTCAATAAAATTATATGATGTTATAGATAGATAATGAACCTAATGAATAGACTCCAACTCATGTAGAGAGAACATTGGGCAATTTAAAAGTAGAGGATTGAGGGTTTAATGCTTGAATTAATATTGTTGATAGAATTCAACTTGATTGATTGTAGTTTTTAGCTCTTGGTTACCTATTTGGCTTGGGAATTCAAGCTTGAAAGCTCTTATACTGAGGGGTAAACCTTTAATCTCTTAAAGGTTTAAAATAACTAAAGGAACTCTACTTTGGGTTGTTATATATTAATTGATTGTTAAATGTGACTTGTGAATGTTACATGCATGGGATTAATTTTCAATGTGAAATTATGTATTAGTTTCAATGAGTGTATGAAAATTTAAATATGCATAATGCTATTTTTTGCTTGAAATGCAAAATGTGAAATTAAGAGGATTTTTGAACTATGTATATGCTTATGCTTTTGAAAAATAAATGTGATATTGTGTAAAGGTAATTATGTGTTAATGAGAAGTGAATTTGATATAAGTGAGAATAATGTTGAAAAAATGATGAGAATACATACTTGGGTAGCACACGGTCGTGAGCTCAACGTGATTATTGTGATAATGAGTAAATGAGAATGAAAATGTGAAAATGTTTGAGTATCACATAAGGCATGATCATTTGGTAGGAGTTTGCCTAAGGATTAGGAGTAGAGAAAAAAATTCATATAGTATTTAGGCTGCCCTCCAGTACACAGAGGTATAGCCTTATCCCACAGTTTATTGAGGAACTATCCCATAGTTTGTTGAGAGACTAAAACCTAGTTATCCCCAGCGGTTCAATGAGCAGAATAGCTTAAGGTATGAGATACCTCAAAGATTCAAAAATAAGAAAAGCTGTGGTCTGAGAGTGAGTCATTTGATCTTTGGCTAGGTCGCATCTCACGATTGGTGAGTTTGGATAGTCCAGTCACATGGATGGAGCCCTAATTAGTGTTATAGCCCTTCGTTTCAATCTAAGAAAAAAAGGAGGGTATAAAGTTGGATGATCATTGCCTAAGTAAATATATGACGTGTCACATGAGTTAAGTTGTGCAACTCGCGAGAATAATAGGTCATGGTTACATATATGAGAATATGGTGACAATGTACCTAATATATGTGAGATAAGTAAGTTATTAAATAAATGATGACAAGTTATGATATGTGTGAGCATGTTTTACTTATTTAGTTTCTTATGAATGTATTTGATTTATAATTAATATATAATTGTATAGGTAGGTTTAATCTTGGTTACTGAGTGGCTAAATTCACCCCTTTCATTTAACACTTTTTAGGCTCTAGTTCTAGTACAGAGAGGGAGAAGGATCAAGAGGCTATGAATTAGCATATTCCTATTGTATGCCTCTGGTTTAGATTTATTTTGTATAATAGTATATAAATGCCAATTTTAAATTGTATGCCATTACACTTGCACTATTTTGTTGTGGAAAATGTTAGATTTGTATTTTGGGTCCTAAGTATTTGTACATGTTGAGATATATATGTTTATAAGGACAAAATACTAGTGCAAGTGTAAAAATAATGATTTGAACATGCTTTGATTGATTTAGGTATAAATAAATACCAATTTGCCTCCCCCTTTATTTTTGGTAAAAAGGAGTTGAAGAGTGAATTTCTGTTATATTATGATTTCAATGTGTGTGACATGTTGTATTAGTAGTGTTGAGTCTAATGGATATAGTCTAGGTGTTAGAAAAGGCTTTTGGCACATGTTGAGGGTTTTTGGACACCTATTTTGAATAAGAGTTGTGAAAAGCGATTAAAATACGTTTGAGTGTCTAACTTCCTGGTGTGACTTGTTTTGAACGTGAAACCCATGTCATTAGCTAGTTTCATGTAAGAAAATTTCGTAGATATCTAGATCATGTCATTTGAATATCAGATGAAAAATTGAAGCATGGTCAAAGTTCCCCAATTATATTGTCAAATAATAGCAGAATCAGTTGAATTTTCATGCAACACACTACAGCGCATGACGCCTAAGCCGTGGCGCATGACATAGAGAGCAACATGCCGTGGCATGCTGCTCTGTACACATTATAAGAGTCATTTTTCACTTGTTTTTGATTTCTTTCACTCCTCTAAGGTATTTCATATTGTCGTAACTTATTTTTACTCTGATATAAAGGACTTTGATTGATTTAAACTCATTTTTATTTAGAAAACTTGAGATCCCTTGAATCTAAACTAAAGCTTGGCAATCACCTTTTTGAGTTAAGTCTTTGATTACTATGAATTATATTGATTTATTATGTTTAGTGGAGTAAGATTTTACATATAAGGAATTCCTCGAAGCATTGTTAGTAATCGAGATCCCCAATTCATTGGGAAATTCTATAGGGAAATTGTTCAAACTCTTAGGGACAGACTTGAACTTCTTAACAAGCTTTCATCCTCAAAGTGACGGACATACAAAGTGAATTAACACTTTGTTAGAGCTTTACCTTTGACATTATGTAAGTAAACACCAATGGGATTGGGCCATGTTGCTTGATGTGGCTTAATTATCTTACGACTTGAAACGAAGTGAGTTGACAGGTAAGAGCCCTTTTGCGATAATTACTAGGCAAAACCTCTAACTCCTACTGTACTTGCAACATCATATAAGGGAGACAATCTAGCTGCATACAAATTTGCTAAGGAACAGCAAGAATTGGATAAAGCCTCCTAAAAAATGAAGAAATAGGTGGACAAGAAACGACGTCCTATTAAATTTAAAGCTGGTGACTTGGTGATGGTAAAGTTATTGCCAAATCAATTTAAGTCATTGCACAAAATCCACAAAGGCTTGGTTAGGAGATATGAAGGGCATTTTCCCATCGTCAAACATGTGAGAAATGTTGTGTATCAAGTACAACCCCCTTCTAAGTTCAAGATTCATGTTGTCATTCATGTAAGTCTCTTGAAGAAATACGATGAAAAAAATCCATCTCGAGATATCTCCAAGAGAGCATCAACAACAATTGTCATTAAGTAAGATAAGGAAATAGAGATCCTCACTGATAGGGTGATCAGAAAGAGAAAAGTTCCTAATTATATTGAGTATTTAGTCAAGTGAAAGGACAAGATGACTACAAAGCAAGTTAGAAACATGAAGACCTCTTGTAGGAATTCATTTTATTCAATGCTATAAGGAGGAAGGCACGACGAAGGTGTCGTGAAATTAAGTGAGGAAGGATGTCACAATTTGCAATTTTTCAAGAAGTTAAGATAGTTCAAAATATTATAGAATCCTCTAGAAAACTCTTGATCAACCTTTTGAGATAGCTAGAATGTACAAGATAATTCTAGAACAATCTAGACATCTCTAGCATGAATATCTCAAGATAAAATTTAAAAAATTCTTTATAAATATCTAAATATTTATTGTAAATATTTTGTAGAGAACTCTAGAGAATCAATATCAATCGTAGGATCGAATTCATGTCCACCGTGAGGTGGCCACATTCTAGATACAAGAAAAAATCTATAAATATTTCACCCCTCTTCATTTATAACCATATTTAAATTTTTGAAACAATACAAATCTCACATTCCTCAAGCTCTCTCATTCAACCTTTGCTCTCAAAATTTTCATTCCTTAACTTGACCAAGCATCCACCTTTTCAACAAATCAAGTTTATTTAACATCTTCCATCAAAGAAGGTCTAAGTGCTACATGAGCCAAAAAACTAACCTCATAACATATCGCTAATTATTAACCTTCTGATGAACCAACAGCCTTGCAAATAATTATATTTAGCTCAGGTGATAAAATTGAAATAAGATACATAAATGATGACCCATAAACATCCATCTTGTGGATAAACTATGTTCTTTAAAGAGTGGAAGAGTTAGACTCGAATCAATTGCGTGGACAAGCAACCTCGTGATTCCTGCTTTAAAATTAATCTTTTATTTGTTGACATGAGGGCAACGGGGCAGGAGGGGGGGGGGACTCAATCTGGAAAGCAATTGGGAGTACGTTCATAATCACAACGATAACAGAGTAAATGCAACTTATGCAATACATAAACCAGTCGGAACTGCTGATAGGACAACGACAAGATTATTGCCTGCAACATTGCATAGCCCCTTGCCTAACCCACCGAAAAAAAAAAAAAACAACTAAACTAGACAACGCTAATCCTGTACAAATTTCCTACCAACTGTAATTCACTTCTGTCGGGTAGAAGCCTCTTCATATAATACTTGGAATTACGGGACAGATTGATTTTGCCCCTCCTTTTCTCCGGTATATAATGAATTGAACATTCTGAAAATCCACGCCTTACAAACCTGTCAAGCAATAGTTGAAGAACTTTTCTTGAGACAAGCCCTAGTGGAGCTAATAACATACTTGAGAGCGTAAAACTAACAAGCAAATTACAAATGCCATGGATATGAACCTAACAACTTCGTTACACCACACACCCAACGCACATTTTTGCATCAAGTGTCTTTAAGACTGACAACTGATAACCATAACTTGCAAGAAAAATAAGAAAATACAACAAAAAATTATTCTCCGCACAACCTTTTGAGTTAGAATCAGCATTAACATGATATCAAATCATCAATGACCAAGGTGGTTTTGAAATGATCCATACAAAAACAGACCCAGATTTCTTGAAATGAGGGGGAAGAAAAAATGCAGGGATTTTGAACAAAAAATGTGGGTTAATGAACAAAAGGAGAATCCGAGACTAAAAGGAAAATAAACTGAAAAAAGCAGGAATCATCCACTGTACTCGTATGAAATGCACTTGGGACAGTTCCATACCAATCTGCTGTCCGAGTAGTAAGCAGGAAAAGCATGTTCAACCCAAGAGATGAAGCCTTCTTCTCAATATAGTCTGCATATATTCGGTCACTGGATTAAATAAACACTGAAGGAAAAACAAGTGACAAGAAGCTATAGAGAAAGAAAAAACCAAAAGACTACAGTAAAATAGCTGTTGGATTAAACGTCCTTTCAGAAAGAAGCACCATCATTTATAAAATTCAATGCATGAACTAATAAAATATGTGCCCTTATGCACCCTAGAGGATTTTCAGCTTTGGCTATTTATTGCAGATAAAAATTGCTAACCGCTGAAAATACAACAATACAACAACAACAATAAGCCTTTATCCCATTAAATAGGAGATTGCAAGATGCCATTGTGCTTTATCATTTACTAAGCTTTTAGAAATATTATTAAGCTTTTAGAAATATAGTAGTGAATGCTGGGCTCTAACGGGACAGCAAGAGCATAAAGTTGGAGTAGCAGAGATGAGAATGTTACGATGGATGTGCGGACATACACGTAAAGATAAAATTCGAAATGAGCACATACGCGAAAAAGTGAGGGTGGCACCTATTGAGGAAAAAATGGTAGAAAATCGGTTGAGATGTTTGGGCATGTACAAAGAAGACCAAGGGAGGCACCGGTGAGAAAAGTGGAACATATAACTTTGAGTCTGATTAAGAGAGGTAGAGGAAGGCCTAAGAGAACACTCTTGGAAGTTATTGAACGCGATCTGTTAATTAATAATATTCCTAAAAGCTTGATAAATGATAGAGCACAATGGCGTCTTGCAATTCATGTAGCCGACCCCACCTAGTGGGATAAAGGCTGCTTGTTGTTGTTGTTGTTGTTGTTGTTTAAGAGATCGCATTCAACAACTTCCGAGAGTGTTCTTTTAGGCCTTCCTCCACCCCTCTTAACAGGGCTCAAAGTTATATGTTCCACTCTTCTCACTGATACCTCTCGCAATCTTCTTTTTACATACACAAACCATCTCAAATGATTTTCTACCATTTTTTCTTCAATAAGTGCTACCCTCACTGTTTCGCGAACGTGATTTAAAACCGCAATTAAAAATAACTTTAATTGCAACAAAAAGTCAGAGATGACTACAAGTTGTTATATTCTCTTAATCTTAGTCAGAACAAAGTCAGATAAATACCCACATACATTCTGTACATCAACTATTGAGAACAAGAAGTGTAAATCCATCTTATTTAAGAAAAGAAATGTAAATACATCTTATTTAAGGAAAGCATTGTAAATCCATATGAGTAGCAACATACCAAGCAATTTGTCACCCTGTCCTTGGCCTCGACAGTCTGGTGACACTGCAATGGCAGCAACCTCTCCACACTTCTCCTCAAAGAAAGGAAAAAGGGCAGCGCAAGCAATTATTTGACCCTCCCTTTCAACAACAATGAAGGAATCCACTGCTTGACGCAACTATGAACAGCAAATGGTAAAATTTTAGAGGCTACATGGCAAATTTACTAGTTATAGACATAAGTTATGGCACCTAATATAGCTATGGAGAATAAAAAATAGAAGCTAAAAAAACCTCCTCGTCAGTCCTCTTAACCAATACACCAGATGCTTCCAAAGGCTGAATAAGTTGTTTTATTCCAGGAACATCTGCAACCCGAGCCATCCGAGTACCTTCATACAGATCACTGCATTGACAATAAGCTTATGAAATCAATGACTCCAGGAGATAAAAATTTCCCAGCAGAAGCAAAACCAAGCTTCATCAGGTACAACCATGTCAACAATTTGACCTATATAGCATATTGCTAGGAGATTCAAGAAAAGTAGTCAAACGCAAAGAGGGCCATTATAGCCCTAGACCTCTAAAACACCTAACCCAGACCCAAAAAAGATCCACGTCTGAGTGACCAGGTTTGTAACTACCTAAATTATCCTATCACTATTTTAATTTTCGGGCTGGGTATATATAAGTTGGTCCTTTTTCTTGTTGCCTTACAAACAAAAGGCAGCAAAGGTGCATGATTGGCATTGGCCATGAAGAGTGCCTTGCCTCTGTGCTGTAGACTTCATTAGCTTTAGGACTAGGCTTTCCTCTAGATTAGATTTAACAGAGGGGATCCCACGACACGAACACTGAAGAATTTGTTAATTACTTATGTTTGGGGGGTTTGAGAAAGAAGAGAAGGGAAGATCTTCTCAGGAGACTGACATTTTTGCTGTGGTATGGTGAGTCTCCTTCGCAAGGTAACAAGATGCAGATGTGTTGAACATGAGTATGCCCTTCAGCGCAGATTAGATACCACTTGTATTTATGTTTGTGTTAAAATTGGACGTAAGTAGAGGTGGTGAACGGGTGGGCCTAGTCCATAAAGGCCCAGCCCTTATGGGCTCAAGCATTAAAACCCGATTCCCCTGAAAATGTCCTATTTCTAAAACCTGACCCTTATTTAAAGGACTTAGGGCCGAGCCTGTATGCCTGTTTAAAAAAAAAAAATAAAAAAAATAAACATTACAAATTAAGTAAAATATTCTAAAATTCAAAGCTGTAATTTAAGGGGCGAATGGACAATATCACATTTATGGTATATATTTGTTACCATTGCAATTTTCCATAAAGTTGGTGATGAAACCATTGTCAACCAATCCTATGGCTTAGATTAATGCTATGAATGCTATCATAGTCATGGAAGCAGGTCTTCATCAAGAGAGGGTGAGAAAGAAGGCACACGGACTTGCTAGAGTTACAGAAAGAATATGAAGAGCACTCAAAGAGCAACAGTGTGATAGCATTAATAGCAAACCAGAAGTAATCTATTGAAAATGAGAGCTTAAACAAATATTTGTATTTTGTCATTTGGCTCACCGAAAAATCACTAGGTGAGTGAGGAAACCAATAATCAGATGAGTAAGGAGAACCAGAATGAACCCAAAAATAAGCAAACAAGGACCGTTACCTGTAGCTGAGAATCAAAGATCGTGAGATGAACACTCATTGCAAGAATCAGACTAAGTAAAGCACTAACACTACCGAGATCAAGAGGATGGAGCCATGGAGGAGAGCACCGACACTGTTGAGATCTAAAGAAGGGAGGAGAGCACAGATGCTGTTGAGATTGAGAAGAGGGAGGAGAGCATTATGAGATTGTCATGACTTAAAGAGGGAGAAGAGTATCGCAAGATTGTCATGACTTAAAGAGAAGAGTTTAGAGCCTTAGAGTCAGATGGTATGTTTTGAGAGATTTTTTGGACCAGAAAAAAAAATTAACCAACCTTGGATGACTACTTGGGCCAGAGCCTGTTTTTTCAAGGCTTAAAAAAATTTCAATTTTTCAAAACTCGAATCCTCATTTAAATAGGGCTTTTAAGCCTAGCCCTTTAGGCCTAATCCTTATCCCTAACTTTAGATGTAGGAGATGTGAGGGGTAGCTTCTGATTACTATCGGTTTCGTATTGATTCTCTTGTTGCTTCTATTTCTTTACCTTATTCCCACCAGTTCCTGTCAATCATTCAGATAGTTATCTATTTCAATTAACTACTCAACTTTGTGAATGATCGATATTTTCATATAAGGTGGAGAGAAAGCAATGTGTAGAACTTAGAGTCAGATCATATTCTTACACAATCTGGTAAAATTAATGCCACAAGGGTCATCTAGTAATGCATACCTGGCCACCATTGTTCCCATTCCATCTCTCTTAAACAATTCCAACAACAAAACTCCACTAATAGTACCATCCAACAAGTGAACTCTTTGAACACCTCCCTGACAAAAAATTGGATGGCGCTGTTAATGATAAAGTTGAGACACATGAACTGGAATTTTAAGCAGCAAAATCACATTTGAACAAAATGATTCCATAAAGAAACTAAAATGTCAAGGGAAATCACATATTATATGGTAGCAATTATTATGTATTGCAGTAGCAGAAACATATGGAAAACACGATAACAACATCTGGGCAGTCTCAAAGAGGTCTTGATTTGGCAAGTGCTGGCACTCTCACAACTGCTTATGCATAGCCACAGCAATTTCTCATATAGAAATCAACACTCTTAAATGTACTTTTTGGTTGTAATCCTGGAAACACAGAATATAGTACAAGATATCCTTATATTATGTAATCTGTCGGCAGTTTCATCCCTAACATGTGATATAGCTGAATTCCAGTAGATAGACAATTGAGTTTTGGGATACAGTGATGGAAGGTGACAGAAGGTAAGAGTTTAAGCAAAATGGATGAGGGAAAGTTCAGACATAATGTACGTACTCTGCAAACAAAAGCTGCTGCAGCCAATTCTGACAGGTAACCATTCATTCGACTTAGCCGCTCTTGACCTCCAATAGCAAAGCCTTGTTCACCAGACCATAGGCCATTCCCATTGTCAAAACCCACACCATTATGAAAGGTTGCATTATGGGTTGGAGTAAAGGCATCTCCATTCTGTGGGGAATGGGCTGTTCCATTAGAACTTTTATGACCAGCAGAGCTGAAATTATTTACATCAACAGCTTTCACATAGTTAGCAGCTATTTCACTTTGCTCGGCCCGTTTACGAATTAACAAATCTGCTTCTTGAAGAGGCAAGTAACGAATAAGATGTCCATTCTCATCAAGTATTAGACCATCTATAATGCAAATAAGCTTGTCTGCTCCAATAGCTAATGCACAAGCTGTTGCAACTTCATAGGTGCTGGTGGGGGAAAAATATCATCAGTATGTAGCCACAATACTCCTAACTGGTGGGACAAGGAGAACTAAAATTTAAGACTTGAAACTCTAATGGTTATCTATTAATATTTCAAATGAGACACAGAAGCCGGTGATTCACACAGCATATGGAATACCGATTACCTGTTCATACATGAATGCCAGTTAATAAGTTTTAAAAGAGCATATCACAAAAACAAATAGCAGAGACGTGAAGTTAGTACTTCATTAAAGATTCTAATTTAAGGATTACATTTGAAATATACATATATATATATATATATATATGTATAGGTAACATAGAATTTAACTACTGATAGCATAACATGTCATATCCTAAACTGCCATCTCATAAAATAAAGTTGTACCAAGCTTTTTATTTTTACCCTGGTAGAAAGATACTATTGGAAGCTCTGAAACATACTTGCAATTTAATACTTCTCCAGAGCTGGAATAACCAAGGTTACTTAAAAGAACTATACAACCACCATCAAGCCTCTCACGCATGCGAGAAACATCTACTTTCTTAACTTCTCCAGTTGATCCATAGTCAATTCCATCAACAACCCCTCTTCTCTGCCAAGCCAAAAAAAAAAAAAAAAAAAATCTTACTCTTTTACAATGGCACAAACTGAAAACAGAGACGCAGCTTCAGAATGTCCTTATTATCTTAACCTAAGATAATGGCAGTTGAAATGAATCATCACTTTAACAGTGAATCACAAAATTCAAACCTTAGCTGCGAGAAAGTTACCACTAGCAACACTGACACCAACTTCATGCCAACGACTATTGCCACCATGTCGACGAATATTGCATATGGACGGTCCAGGAGAAAGTTTTGCTTCCATCATCAACCTTATTCCCCCAGCTGCTTCCATTGCAGCAGCAAGAGATTCATCATCGGTAATCCTATATCGACCAACATACTTAGGTTGGCTCCCTACAATAGCAAGGCAGTTGATCATTCATAAATTAAGAACTCCTCTCTTCTTTTTGCTTGGCAAAAAGGGAAATGGGTTTGGTAACAGCCAAAGATAATAAACAAGAGTGATCTATTGATAACCCTGATAATGACAAAATAATTGCTAAATATTAAACAAGTATTTTTTTTTTCTTTCCAGCTATGAGATTTTGCTATGATCATACTTATTCATCACACAACTCAAATCAACCTGGTTGAGAGTTATTGATCATTAAACAACTAAATATTTTAAGAAAATAAACATGAAATTATGGACAAAATATTATTTTATATTTACTTATTATTATTATCATTATCATTATTATGGTTCGCATATTCAAGTTCATAAGACGTAAGCATTGCTTTTAAGTTTCTAAGTGAAAGAAAACTAGATCATCTGCTGAAATCCATAGTACACACACACGCTGCGGCTGATACTCAAGAAGAAGCATAAGCAATAACTGTGACCAACCTCTCTCAGTCAAAAGCTTGTCTATTTGCACATGGGTCCCCGGGACAAGAACAAACCGAATTCCCAGGTGATGAAGGAAAGCTATATCCTGCAAGCAGAAACGTGTCTATATAGGCCGCTGAATAGAAGAAGATTAAAAAAAAAAGATTTTAAATGGAGCACATCTTTTAGATATATCTTTTCGACAAGTTCTAAAGAACAAACCAGGTTTAAATTTTATCCTAAAAGAATGACCTGCCTTGAGAATAGGATCTAAGAAAGGACTGGAGACGATTTCACCGGAAATAATCACGACGAAGGTGCCGCCTCTATGGGCCCACAAGTAAGGCCAGGCCTCGCGAAACCAGCGCACAAATTGCTTATCTTCCACCGTGCCGAGGCTTTCCCCTTCCGCGCTTTCTCCCAATTCGTCGCTGAACCCATCGCATTTGGTTGAGGCCGCTTCATTGAGCTTTGCTTTGTCATCGGCGGCTAATGCTAAGGGTTTTAGGGAACGAAATCTTGCATTCAGTTGCGAGTATAAATTGCGAGAAGAATAGCACAGGTCAGTACGCAAGTGGAAATCTGAAAATTTGCGAGAAGCGTGCAGAGAAATGTAAGAGCTCGGTATTGGAGCCGCCATTGAGAGGCTATCAAGAGCAAAAGAAGTGTCATATTTCGGGGCGGGTGACATTAGCGAACGAAAGAAATTTCTAGGGGACGAGAAGCCGCCATCCATGGCTGCAGTAATGGGACCCGAGTCTTAGAAACTAATGAATGTAATTTTACCAACGTTGAACTTTGAAAAGTAAACTAGAAAACGTGCACCTTGCATTCAAAAAATAGAAAGGCCGGGACTGGAAGTAGTTATAGATAGCTAGATTCCGAATCTTGGTGCGTTCCCCTTTTTTTTTGGTTGGAATTATGAGTGTTCGAATAAAAAAAGAGTAATATAACATGTAATCTGCTGATGAAAAAATATAACATGTAATCTTTGTAAGAGTTAGGATTAAATCAACCATTAACGTGTATATCATGAAATCTTTTTGACTTAACAAAAAAAAGAGAATTCTTGTATCAGTTAAAATTATGTTACATTAATTTATAATTTATAAATTGTTTAAAATGTCCATAACTTATCATAAATGTTTTTGGGATAGCCAAACGAACGCTTAAATTCAATTGATATGGTATTGTTTTAGTTTAATTTAGCTCGAACTTTGAGAATGTAGCTAACGTGATAAATCCCACAAGGGGTGTGGTAGAATTCCTCCAAATATGAGTGACCAATCTCAATCCAAATTAATTTGACCTACTATAGATATATATATATTTGAAATAAAAATAGACTTCAATTCAATCAATAATGTCATTGTTATTTGATACTTGCCCTTTTGGTAAAATTTTGAAAATTGCCCTCTTAATTTTTTTCTCCTCTCTCTAAGTAAGTTCTTGTATTATTTTTTGAAAAAATGACAATAAAATTTTAAATACATAAATAGTAATTTGATCTCTGAAATATCATAATTCCTCTAAAATTTTTTAAAACTTTTATCATTAATAAATTTATATAAATTATCAAATTGCCCATGTTGAAAATAAATGATTCATAATTTTTTTAAATATTCTTGACTTTTCTTTTTATATTTCGCAACAATGCATGTAAATATAAAAAAAATTGTGAATATTTAAATAAAACTTATGAATTATTTATTTTCAACAAAAATAACTTAATAATTTATATAAATTCATTAATGACAACAAAGTCTTTAAAAATTATAAAAAAATTATAATATTTTAAAAAACTAACTTATCATTTATACATTTTAAAAATTTTTTATTATTATTATTATTTTTATTTATTTACAAGTATCGAGGATTCAAATGTAAAATTAACTGTGCAGTTAAAGAGAGAGAAAGGCGGAATCACTTTTCTTCCTTCGGGCTATGGATGAAATTGATTCATCCAAACGAGATTATTTTTGTTTCTAGTTTTTATTGTCGTCGTCCATTGACGAGACGCAGCAGAAAACATGTTTATGTCGTAGTGATCAAAACGCAAACATACGTATGGCCATCGGAATGAGATTCGCAGACGATACAGGAATTTTTGGAACAAAAAACTGAGCCAGGAGCCCAGGACGCAGTTTCGTGCAACCCTGTGCTGCTCAGGATGGCCGTTGAGAACCCACCATGGACAGAGGATTGATTAAACAGTGCGCGGCAATTAGGGTAGATCACACCGTCTCTAATTTTATATGGTTCAGTACTAAGCTGATCAAATTAAGAAAAACCACTGTCCCAAAAAAACCTATTCCTTCACAGGAAAACTGAGCACTGGTTCTAGTTTTCTAGTAGGTGAATTTCGGTGGGCACAATACTAACGAATGTAGGGCTCTTTAATGCATCCTTTTTTAATGTCCAGCGTTTTAATTTCGTTTGTCATTTGTTTTTTAATCATTCACTTTTATATAAAATAAGAAATATTTAAATATTTTAATGTTTTAAAATGATGAAAAATTCATATTTTTTATTTTTTTAAAATAAAAAGATATATTTATGATATTTTTCTTTAAAAAGTAATAAAAATATGAATCTTTATTATTTTGAGATATCAAAATATTAAATCTCTTATTTTATAAAAGTCAATGGTTCAGAAAAAAATAAAAAATAAAATTAAAAATTAGAACATTATAAGAAACGAAGGACATATTAAAGGCTCCACCGAATTTATACAACAACAGATGATTGTCGCTTCTAATGACTAATGAGGCATTGGTTCATCTCTCGAGTTAAAGAAGATTATTAAAGGACTTTGTATGGAGGCAAAAATAATTTGACAGACTCAATTGTTCAGGTGTCCAAGTGAAGACCAGATTGACGCCTGTTAATGGAGGGAGTGTATAAAATTGTGAGACTATACAAGAGAGATAATAAGAGGCTAGTGTGGAGAATCTAGGGTGTTCTCGGCCGCCGCCGAGTAGGATAATATCTATTTACCAATCTTCCTATTAATATTGAGAACATGTGTTGGATTTGGATTCCTAGCGTTTCATTCCATCCTTCCCACATTTTCGTATTTATCGACTATGCCCTTCCTCAGTTTTAAATATTTGTCCCGAGTCCGCCTCACCGAGTCACTGCAACTATCGAACTTGACAGTGACAATGACACATCGCACCGCTCCTAAAAACAAAAACAAACAAATGAAAAAAAATCTATGACGCTGGGGAAATCTCGTCGAAGCAGAACATTCCGGCCATTAGCCGGATCGGAGGCCGGAACGACTATTCAGTCCGTCACAAAAGTATTGAGCTCAGTCAACCCGGGGGTGGGGGGAAGTGTGAGGGAGGTACCTTGAGAATGGCGTCCAAGTGGGGGCCGGCAATAATTTCTGCAGAAATGACGAGGACGAATATGCTGTTTCTGTGAATAGAAATATAAGGCTGAGCCTCCCGCAGAACCTTGACAAACTCTTGGTCTTCCTCGGCGGCACGATAGCCGTCTCCCCTGTTTGGGTCACACCGGCATCCTCTCACCACAAATTCTGCTGCTTTCTTTCTAGTTTCCGGCCTCCCACCAAAGCCACAAGATTTGACTCTGGGTGCAACGTTGAAGGCCTGAAATTTAAGGCTGCCGGAAAGCCAACGTTCTCTCTGGCTTCTCTGCCACACCGGTGGCTTTGAGCTAGAACTACAGGTAGCCATTTTCCTCTGCATTTGTGCCAGAAAATTCAGTTCACAGGAAGTTTTTTTTGAGGGGGAGGGGGGCGCAGGTTATAGAAGCGTGACACTGCATTCAACCAGCACAATGGATGCATTAAGATTAAATAGTTGATTAAATTCATTGTCGTAATGAAAATAGATACTACCTCCCACGAAAATATCATAATCCAAATAATTTGGGAATATTCCGAAAGGGCAATTGTAAGAAAATAAAACAATAAAAAGACGCAGGATGGTGAAAAGAGTAACATTCTATCAGACCGGACGCAGTAAAGTTTTACTTTTTTCTTAATTAAAAACTCCAGTGGATATATCCAATAATTAATTAGTGGTTATGTCAGAGTTCGCTAAAATCAATAAATTATTACTCGTTACATATTTTCCCCTTTGACAACAGTTCAAGGCGTCTGGTGAAGGAGAAGCGGGTTCCTGTATAAAATCTGTTTTTGATAACTACGTCAATAGATATTTACGTTTTTATTTGAGAATATCTTTTAGTTGAGATTATCACGTTTAATTTTACAAAAAAATAATCATACAGAAAAAAAAAAAATAATTGCCTTACGCGGCGAAACGGGGACGTGGGGGAGAGGGGGTAGTATATAACGTTAATATAATATTTTTTTGTTTAAAAATATAAAATATTTTTAATTAAATTTTATCTTTTAATAAAGTAATTAATTATTTTTAAACTAATCCTATCTTTTTATATTTATCTTTAGTAAAGATTCTATAATAAATATAAAATTATTATTAATAGAGATATTTTAAAAAAATAATAATTATATTTTAAAAGATTAATAATATTTTATATTTTTAAATATTTAATTTTTTAAAAAAATATTTTACATTTTCAAATGAATTAAATGAAGGGAGCAAGAAGAAGAAGAAGAAAAATGTCTGAACCAAAACATGGACTGTGAGTGTGAGGATCGAGGAAGAATAGTAGTTGGTGTGTGTGAGGTGGACAGCACCAAAGCTAAGCGTGGGAGATACGCGGGGGACAGTAGACAGTGGAGACTAAGGGAGGGCGTAACTTGACCTCAAGTAGCAATCTCCTTGGAATTGCGATCGAGCATCTTATCTCAAGGCCGTTCAAGGCTACCGCGTCCCCGTCGTGCCTTTTCTTCGATTAAAGAAAAGAGGTAAACGACAAGCTCAGTGAGGGCGTTTCAAGTCTGATATTTTCAGACCAATTACCAAGCAGTAATGATTCGGGTGGGCCAAGCGTTAGCTAAAAGTGAGGCCCGTTTCACCCGGCTAATCATGGCAGCAAATGGCAATAAATCCAGGGGGATCTTAAAAAGAAGCCTATCCTTGGGTCACTAGCCACTAGGTGCTTAGCTAATAGCTATTATTGTCCTTTCTATCTCTCAACTCTCGTCAATATGTTGACCACTGCCAAACGATCCTTAACATTGTTTGTACCTTCACCGAGTGGCATTGCTCTTCATAAACCACAAATATCAACGGAGATAGACTTATGTTCTATGTCATCCCACCACATGTTCCGGTATCTGCTAAGCCCACTCTAGAAGACTATAACACTCAGAAATGTTTGTTTGGTACGTTCTGACTTCTGAGTGTTCTAAATTCGGCTTGGTTGACGAAAGCAAGAGCTTCTAATCTAGCTTTACAACTTTTTTTCGGCTTTCTATGAATTATTTACGAAGCAACAGAAAGTTTAAGAAGAAATTAAGATGGCCATATATTGAATTTATCACACAAGTCGCAGCGGAGGTACCATGGAAGCAGGCCAGCTTCTTGTATCGAGAATTCAGATGCCAGTCATTTCCAATTAACGGCCACTCCACGAACCAAAATCCCCAACAATAGTCACGATCTCTGGCGATTTGTGGTAGGGAATATAAGTTAGATTGGCCGAAGCTGTTGGACATGACGTGCCTTCCCACGCGTTGGCAACCCGGTGCGGTCATAGTTTTGGACGATGCACTGATAGATAATACAGCTTTTGAAGTCGAGCAAGAAGCACACGCATAATTTTCGCTACTACCGGACAAGATTCTTTTGATCAAATTATAGGTTCATGGTCAAGATTCTTTTGCTTCATGAGAAATCGCATCCAAAAAGCTAACCCACAGTCAACTTGGCCGAAAGAAAAGGGGAAGAGAAAGGAAGGGCAGGCACTCACATGTCAAAAATTCAGACAATAATGGAGTCTTTAAAAATATCCGAGTCGTGCTAATACATTTCTACAAGTTGTGGTCTGTGGCAAAAGCTAACAAAAGAAATCCTACTATTGAATTATATCATACTTGAAAGAAGATGACAATGATGCTGCCTCCTGGAATGACCGCGCGAATGTGCTGAACAGACACCTCTCTTCAAAAGCAAGCATCCAGCAGGCAACAGCAGCAGAGTGCCGCTAAACTGCAAAATATACAGACTGGTAAGTACAGACTTCAAAGGCTAATTCATATGCAATTTGATGCATGTTACATGTGACTTTTCTCATCCGTAATAAAGGGCAATTAGAGTAACACAACAGCAGAACAGACATTATGCTTACAGAGAACAGCACTTGTATTTTTATTTACAATCCTCGTACGCTCATGTTTTCGAGATTATTTGGAAATACTTCTATCCGAACAAATTTCGTTCAACATTTATGTTTTGCTAGACAGCTTATAACTTTTTTGAAATCTTACAAAGCAGGATAACAAGAAAACAAAACAGGACCTTAGCTTACAAAGAAAAAAGAAAGACGAAACCTCAAGAGGATAGCCACTACGACTTTCGAAACGGGGAATAAACAAAGGAGATAAACATGCTGTATTTTATAATCCGAGTCCGAGCTAAAGACCCCAAGAACTTGAATGATCAAACAACGCTAGGTTCAGCTCAATTGCAGTCGAGCTGTACTAACTAGTTAAATTCCTACCAGGAATATAATATCTATCCAAAACATGCTAGGCAGATTTCTTGAAATAAAGCGGACGGCATGTGCAGAAGCAATTGTCCAAGAATTTCGGAAAAAACATCATCTACAAGCGTGAGAAAGAGAAGGGCATACCATCCCTCAAGAAAACTGGTGTCTTGCCTTGGAGGTGGAGCCTGGGCATACTGTGGTGGAGCGTACCCTTGCTGGGGGTAGCCCGGTGGAGGATATCCTTGCACTGGGTAGCCTGGCGGAGGATAAGCATCCTTTGTTGGATACCCTGTTCATTATTCAAACCAATAATTTCACCAATCGCTCTCACGTCGACAATTGATCAAAAAATTAAAGTCTTGAAAATAAAATTCCATGGTATAGAGGGAATCAAACGAGAGCAAATTACCCTGCGGAGGAGGAACGCCGATCGGAGGCTGATGCTGGTGTTGATCGTAGTAACTCATCTCGATGCGTAACCTGAAATTGGAATGGAGGACTTGACAGTGACAGAAATTAAGAGATTCTTGCAAGTCTTTTATAAGAAGCGAGGGGGGAACCTGGAAGGAAGTTTCGTCGAGTAACTTAGGCAGGTAATGGAACAAATGTGAGTAACGCGTTTGATCCTGCAACGATGCTGAAGATGCTTGCTTCAAGATTTACTTGCTTTTACTCTCCCTTTTGGCTTTTTGAATATTATTCTTCTTTCCCTTTTAACGGCTTTCGTGCGGCTTTCTCTTCCATAAAGTGACTTTCATTTTTGACTTTACCCGTTACCCCAACGGCTTTCCAATCGTCCTTCACCGTTCAAATCCACTTCATCTTCCATTTTTCCATTTTGATTCTTCATGCCCGGTTTCCGATTTTATGATTTTATCTCTATTCAAAAGTATTATTTTTTGTTTTAACCTTTTACTTGATTTATTTACACTTTGATGTATGTTCTGGTTGTGTTAATTTTAGCTCATGCTATTGATGTTCTATTTATAGGCGGTCTCTAGCGTTTTCTATTTTAAATTTCGACAAGGATCAACAATGTCAGGAAGCAAGAACTGTCCACCTCTCAGCAGCAAAATGAGGAATGGAAAGACCTGTAGCCCGTAAAGGGTATAAATGGTATTGACTAGTTCAATAGAACCACTGAAGTTTTACAATGTGAAATATTTATAAATTATAATTTTGTTGAGGAAGCGAGTGAAAACTATCGCTATGTTAGGGAGCATGAAGAAAGTAGATGGTGATGAAGGACAAATGACAGCGAGTGGTGATGACTAATAACTATTCTCGAAGCTGAACGGTTGCCTTCGCCGCTGATAGCAATCAACAACTAAACCATCGGAGAGGGTTAGTCAACCGACAGAATTGTGAAAACTATTGGCTATATACCAAATTTTTCAATTTCGTCCTTATTTCGCGAAGGATGATTAGGGGGGTCAATACTCAATACCCAAAAGCCAAAACCTTTATCCTCCCACGCTGGGGTAAGGGAACAATGAAGAAGACAGGCTGTTGCAGTTGCAGTAGCCCAAAGAGGACAATCCAGTCCAATGACGACATAACAAAACCTTGATGGTGTGTTTGGGTTGGACTGCCGTAACTTAGACCCAAACCCTCCTTTTGGTTTCACCACATTGTTGTGTAACGTAATCCCTCGTTTTTATCAAAAAAAAAAAGAAAAGAAAAACACAATACCTTGTCGTGTAACCAAAAAACAAGTGCTTTGTTGTTCGGATATGAATTTTTACACTGTGTCAGTAGTCGATCGTTAAACCATTGCATAATACCACCCCCATTCCAAGAGCTGAGGAGGGGAGGACTATTTTGCATAGAAACGTTTTTTATCCGTTATGCTTATTCTTTCATTGCTGACACTAGACAAACTTACAAATCCAATTTGAAGTAAAATTTATGCTCTGTTTGGTTGGGAAAAAAATATAGAGAAAAAAAATATGGATAAAAAATAATTTTTTCCCTGCTTGGATAGGGAAGAAAAAAAAAAGAGTGAGAAGAAAATAATATATGAAACTTATCGTATTTTTCTTTCAACTTTTTTTTTCTAAAAGTAAAGAGATTTTGGAAGTAAAATTTTTTTCACTGTCTACCCTCCCTCTCCCTCTTATCTATTTTGTGCTCTAACTCTCGAGAAACTATTTAATTACATTAATTTAATTTTAATTAAATAATTTGGTTTATAATTTTTAACTTTTATGATTATAAATTACATTAATTTAACCATTTAATTAAATAATAGCCATTCGCCGGTTCAAGTGTCCAGATTTACGTGATAGAGATCATCATTGTCATGTGAGCAACTCCAGAATTCAGGGGAGAGGTGTTCTTCCTTTTATTAATTATGTAAACACCATTTTTTTGACAATCGATTACTCTTAATCAACTTTGAAAGTCATTCATTTTGTGATTTTTGAATCTTAACACAAAATTACAAAATTTTCACCTTCATGACAGCTATTGTTTTGTTTCATACTACAACTTAATGCTACTAATTATCAAATTATGTAGGTGCATAACCTCTTGAGGTTGTACAATGATATTAATGTTCCTTCTCAAAGCCTATTGTTTAAAATTCCTTCAACATGGCAAGTGTATGATATTGCAAATCAAAATTGTTATCATGACTTTGAGTTATACTTTATTAGCTATTGAATTTATGGCCTATTTTTTATTTATTTTTTATTTTAGGGAATAGAGGTTGCAAAGTTACTTGAATATGAGTAGTATAAACACATTTGACTTTTGTTTATAATATTTCATTATCAATGTGTGGAGATTTTGTGTTTATAATTACTATGTTTAATTTTATTAGTGCCCACTTTTGATTTTAAAATGTGAAAATAACATATTTTACTAAATTATTTGATTTTAAAATACAATATAAAAATACATTTTTAACAAGTAATTTGATTTTAAATTAATTTGAGTGTGTTAATTTTAATATAATTTTACTTTCAATTTATTTACAAATATAATTACATGAAACATGATATATTTTGATATAAAAAAATTATAATTATTATAATATCTGTTCATTTTCTTTTCTCCCTATATTCTCTTGTCCATCTAAATAGGAAGAGTGATAATATTTTTTTTCCATTTTCTCTTTTCTCTATTTTCTTTTCTCTCAACTTTTTTTTCTATTCAAATGGAGGGGTAGGATGGACCAAACTTAAAAAAGATGAAAGTTCATTTGTGGCTTCTTTATGAAGACAAAATCACATGCTAAGGCTTGAGCGCTTTATTGAGCACAAACCTCTACCCCTTGGAATGTAGGCATGGACGAATCTAGGACTGAACCTATGGAGGGGCCAAAATACAAAACAATATTATAATGGGGGCTATTATAATAAAATAGTTTTTACATTTTTTAACAAAGAAAAACAATATAACTTTTAAATATATTTTTTATAATAAGGTGCTTGTCCTCTCTAAGTTTGTCCCTAGATGCAAGAGGAAGGAAGACGTCCTCTTTGTACTTTTAGACTGCCCACATGTGGAAGAGAGATGGGCAAAATTTATCAAGCCAAAATTCTTGACCAAATTCAAGAACTTAAATAGAGAAGCATAACATTCTCAAAATTTAAACTTGATTAATTAAGACTAATTAGAGTAATTAAGTTTATTTAGTGATGTGTGTGGTTAGAGAGGTCTAATGGGCTGTTTAGTTGTAATTTCAACCCTAAATGTGAATCCAAAGTGAAGTCGGGTCAACCTGAATGTGAAAGAAAAAGAAAATTCAAAAGGTAAGATTCTGTACCACATGCCACAGCTTGTGGATGATCCTCCGTGGCACATATACATGAAATAGCTAAGAAGGCCTCTTTGTGTCATGAGCTATAGCGTATAGCCAATTTTTTGCTAAAATATAGCCACGAAACTGATGCAAAGAAGAAGAAAATGAAAGAGGAAATGAAAGAAACACAAGAGGCTCTGCTAGGGCTTAGAGTTTAAAAGAATTTGGAATATTTTGAAACTTCTAAATACTATAGGTAAGGTTGTCAAGCTTAAATCTACCCATCTCTTCCATTTTCTTGATATTGAAGTTAAGGTTTAGTTGATAATGATGATTTTCGGTCCATAGAGGCTTTGTGTTTGAACTCATTGACTTAAATAGAGTTATGAGAGTTATTTAACTAATGAAACCTAGCATTTATGGTTTGTGATGGGTAGTGGTTAAAGAGCATTTAATATCAAAAAATCCACCATTAATAAAGTGGTTGGGATATGTAGCCCCTTGAATGATTATATAAGAGTTTAATGATATTAATGTGAGTTAGAGGAAGCTAAAAAAACCTATAAGTACTTTTATATGGAAGGAATGAATCTTAGGAGTGAAGAAGTACTTGAGTTAATGAGGAAAAATTATCCAAAAGGGTGGATATTAAGGAAGTATATTGTGATTACTTGTAGATATTTTTGTACCATTCAAGCTTTATGGAAGTTTTGGGAGTGTGTAATTGAGGGATAAAATCTTTGACCTTTTAAAGGTTTGAGATAACCGGGGTATTCTTTCTCATGTTTTTGTATGTTAATTAATTTACTGTTTGACATTTGATAATTTAAATATGAGAATTTGAGATGAAATGCAGGTGTGGCTTGTCTTATTTGAAAATCCATTATATTTTTCTAGTAAGGTTCAATGAATTGTTTTCATTTGAAATTTGATGATGTGGTTTGTAATGGATTTTCAATGATTGTTGTGATAGAAGAGTTCAATAAGCATATGTGAATTGTTTAGAGTTCAATAATTGTGAAAATATAAAGTTCAATAATTGTGAAAATGTGAAGTTCAATGAGTGTAAAATGTGGAGTTCAATGATTGGTTGTTATTTGTTGTATTATAACCATGTGTAATATGAGTTTAATGATGATATTATGCATGTCGTATAATGAATATTTGCATGCTATGAGAAATTTACATGTTGATGCACTACATGATTAATGAGAGGTGGGAGTTGGTAAAGCTTCCATTAGAGCTTAATGGTTAGTCTAAATTTTTATTTATATTGTCTCACTTATTCAACGAGTGATTGTACTACTAATTCAATGAGGACTTGAACCTAACTAACTATCCACTTGTTTGATGAGAAAATTAATCTAAGGAGAATGACACCCTATAGTATGAGAAATAGTGGAAACAATGACCCACTAGTGAGATGGGAAGCCTTGATTAGGTAACCTCTCACAAGTGTTTTGATTAAGATAGTCTTAAATATAGACAAACTTAACGTGTTATAGCCCATGGTTTTCTTATCAGAGGAATAAGGAGGATATAAGAGTGGTATGATCGTGTATGTATGGATAAAGGGCACATGATTGATTGCCTTGTGATCTTAGTGATGAAAATCATGAGTTCATTATTATATCCATGTGAGAATGTGAAAAAAATAGATCTTTTAATTGGATCTTGTTTTCTATGTATATGATAGTATTATTATATCATCAACTCATAATTATGTTCTTCGACAAATGAGCATTATGAATTTCATACTTGAACATTTTCATGTTTAGAATGTTTTTATTCCCACTTGCATTTAATTAATTGACATTATAACATCCTAAATTTTAATTCCCTAATTAACTAAACTTAATTAGGATAATTAAGTAAGTTGAGGTAGTGTATGGCCAGGGAGGTCTAATAATCATATTCAATTGTGTTTCAATACTAATTGTGGATCTGGCATCAAGTCGGGTCAACTGG